CACACACACACAAAGACACACACACACACAGACACACACACCTGCTGCAGACACCTCACCTGTGACTTTGCCGAAGTCCTCCAGGATACTCTCCCGGGTCTTGTTCTTTGGAATGGACCCGACGAACAGACGGTTGTTGGCCACAGAAATGCAGACGCCCAGATATTTGCCCGACCGGATCTCGTAGTTATCACACTGATGCCAAACACAAACAATAGCGGCTTTTTAAAGTAATTGCAGCCTCACATTTGGTCACCTATTATAGCAGCTATTTAATAATGTGATCATTGATTTTTTTAAACAAATTACTAAAAATGTCACCTTGGCAAGAAAGTTGAAGCATGAAAATTACTAACTGCACTGCAAACAATATTTTTCCTTCCTCAGTATTTTTGTTTTCCATTTTAAATATCAAATTATTCTTAAAACAAAACACATTTACTGGAGAAGCAACACACACACTCACACACATTCAACTCACTCACACACACACACACTCACACACACTCAACTCACACACACACTCACTCACACACACTCACTCACACACACCAGTTTGACAGCCTCCTGCGCGGCTTCTTTGCTGCAGAAGGTGATGAAGGCGTAGCCGCGGTTCTGCCCGGTGAGCGGATCCATCATCAGCCTCAGATCCCAGATGGAGCCGGCCTTCTCAAACAGAGGAACCAGCTCGTCCTCGTACAGATCCCGCGGGATCTTCCCCACAAACACCTGCAGGAACACACACAGACACACACACACAGACACACACAGGTGTCAGCTCAGTCGCTCAGCGCTGGCGCTCCCAGAACCGCCAGAGTGTGACAGTAAACCTCGGTGCCGATGCCGGGCTGCGGGCCGGAAAACACTTCCTCTGGAGGAGGGCCGCCGTACTTCCTCTGGCCTGTCGTGACGTCTAGAGTGTATCCCGTCCTCTCCAGCAGAGCCTGAGACACATTCAATCTCAATTCAGTTTGATATTCATTCATTTGGATACAGAGGCACTCAGGTTCAGTACATGACAATTCATCTTAATGCTGCAAACTACAATAAACCGTCAGGTGGTACATCACTGAATCGTCACTGAATGGACTTTAGCTGGAAAATGACTCTTTGTTATTGTCTTCTTGCATTATTGAAACTATTTTCCTGTTGACACTGTGAAGCTGCTTTGACAATCTGTATTGTATAAGGCGCTGTATAAATAAAGGTGACTTGACTACTATACTATAAACCGATATTTAAATTGCACATACGCTTGTATAATGAAAATATCAACATTTATTATGAAAACTTTTCAATGATACAATTCGGTTTCTACTCAGTTTGTTGTTGAAGTAGGAACATTTAAACAGTGGATGCCATAGCTTGTTTTCATGACGGATTTACTCAAACATACATTAAATAGTTTTTTAATGATGCATTTTGACTTTTAGTGTTAAAGATGTCAACAACACAGCTTGAGATCAATAATGTCACAATGATACATTTACCTCAGGAAAGACATTCAGTGACCATAAACTCGACAGTCAGCTAGAAAAAATAATTTTATGCTAATCATAATATGTTTTAGTCAATAATTTCATTCATACAAAACTATTTCAGACCGAAACAGAAATGTGCTATCTTACACGCACAAGCACTAAAACAAGCTGAAACAACTATTTTCTTTTGAAAAACAGATTAAATGATGAATAATATAATATTTTATTTTAAATGTGTGATTTCTAGACATGGAAAAGTCTTGGAAATTAATATAAAAACTAGGGATGCACGATATTATCGGACCGATATCGGAATCGGCCTGTCATTATAAAATAACTTAATTATGGTTTATTTAATTCTAACAAATAAGTTTTTCTTAAAAGCTAACCAAAATTAAAAATAATTTGTTTATAATTTCCACACAGGAGAGACCTAGTGGTGTTTCCAAACAAAAGGAAATATATCGGTATCGGCCAAAATGAGTTGAAAAATATCAGATATCGGCAAAAATCCAACATCGTGCATGCTTAACAAAAACAATTAATTTAATAATCAATAAAATATTTTAGCAGGTTTTTTTGTATATTCAGCGTATGTTTATTGTCTGTATATTGTTATCATGTTGATAATGTTAAATGCCGAATTACTGCCAGCACCTTTAGAGAAACATCATTTTTCCCTCCTATGTTTGAATAAAATGATCCATATCTGTAAAATTATTCAGTGAATCAGGAGTGACTGGAAGAGTCATGCAAATTAATTGCTCAAAGCAAGCAGGAATCCTAAAACGGTGTTATTTGAATGTACAGATACCAGCAGTGTCCATGTATTAACATTAAAAAGTGGAGTGAAGAAGCTTGAGAAGAACAGGCAGTCACAGATCACGAGATTGAGTTTCTGATGAAGAAAGTAGCACCTTTATCTTGGCCTCGTCTGGGCCTTTCGTGGACTCCTGCACTTTATTGCCCTGCTTTTCTCTCTGTCGGTACGTCTTCATCACGCCGCACAGGAAGGCGCTCTTATTCTGCAACCAATCAGAGCAAAGGGCGTGACCTCAGATCAGTCTGAGTATATATCCAAATACAATCTGATCAAATATACAAAAGGAAGGCTTGACGAATACTTCAGAACTTTTTTTACCAAATATTTAGTAAATATTCAGTTTGAAAGACATAAATAAACACATGAATGTCTGTAAGTAAGGAAAAAGAAAAGATAGTCATATGCATTTACATGCTTAATTGTTTACCTACTGAACGGACTGTTTGCCATCCAATCATTTTATTTGGATCAATCACTGTGCAACCCGTCAAAATAAAAGTTCGGTTTAACTTGAAGACATTGTGCCAGCAATATATTAGCCTACTATTGTTCATTACAACTTAATTTTTAAGGAATAATCACAAAACATTTCTTCCATGTTTTAATTTTAATAGTAAATCCCTGTTGCTTGCCAAAAAATATGAAGTTTGTTTAATTTTTCTGAGAACCAGAAAATGTTAAATACACAACCCATCATTTCTGAGGAAAAAAAATTCATAAGGCTAATGTAACAATCAATTTGAATAAATCAAGTTGTTTTTATGCATTCTAATAATTAGACGTGTTAAAACACAGAATTTGGTAACGATAAAACATATGGTGAGAAAAAACAGAACATTTCATAGGTAACTAAACATATCATAATTGTTAAACTTTTAATAAATTGATGTGAAAAGTTTCCTGATTTTAATCTATTAGACATGCTTTTTGATTAATAAAATATCATTTAACCATTTAAAAAGGAGTCCAGAAAAATTAAAATGGAAAAAACAGAATCCAGAAAAAAATAAAACAGATTTCATAGAGCCCTACATTCAGTTTCTTATTGCTAATGGATGATGATAATGTGTGTGTGTGTGTGTGTGAGTGTGTGTGTGAGTGAGTAAGTGAGTGAGTGTGTGTGTGTGTGTGTGAGAGTGTGAGTGAGTGAGAGAGAGTGTGTGCACCTTCATCCATCAGGACTCGACTGAAGCAGAAGTGATGCTCCAGATTGTCCAGTGTAGAAACACATCCTCCTGAGAGCAGTCATTGAGAGCGGTTTGAGGGGTCCAGACGGTCCGTCTCACCTGTCTGGAAGATGTTGTCCAGGCTCTCGGCGACCTTCTGCGGCAGACCGGCGTCCAGCAGCGTCTGGTAGTTCTCCGAGCAGAGAGAGACATGAGTGTCAATCGTGATCACAGATGCCATGAAACCAGGCTTCTCTATAAGTTCATGAAGCAGCTACAGGCGGCGTATGAGACTGAGAGAAAAGCACATTACAGTGTCATGAATCCCCCGTTTCAGCACTGGTCTTTCACACCTCAGATCTAGGGCTGTGCAATTAATCACACGCGACTGTCATGTGCATCTCGTCAGTAAAGCCGGTTCTGTGACACGTACTTTCAGATGGAGTGCATTTAATACACAGAGCCGTAGTTCACTGACAAGCTACGCAATATCGCGTTCATAATCTCAGGCGATTCATCTGTGATTATGAATGCGATATTGCGTAGCTTGTCAGTTAACTACGGCTCTGTGTAGTGAATGCCGCTCCACCTGAAAGCAGGTGATGGAGATTTACTACTAATCACAGAACCGGCTTTACTGACCAGATGTGCATGACAATCACAAGCGATTAATTGCACAGCCCTACTCAGATCTGAAAAAGCCTAAAAAGGCCAAAATGATCACGGTTATCAATATTATCATTGTATTGTTAAAATGTGCTGGAAATGTTCAAAAAGTACTGACACACAAATAATTTCACCAAGTTTTACATTTAAAATCAACAAACAACAAATAAAATGAGTTTTGTTTGCATAATCACTAAAACAGTAACATTGCCAATGATGTCCGGATTTTAAAAGACAACATGACTGACAATAATTTATCTAATAGCATGTTCAAATATCTAACGTAAATGTTCAAATAAAGCTTTGAAAAAGTTTCATAAATGGTAAACCTCACATTTCAGCTTTTAAATCAAGTCAAAATGATAATTGATTAATAAATGATTATATGTACTTTATCTGCTCCATAAATAATTCTAGATAGCTTATCTGAATTGTTTAAATGTGTAGAATCCACATACGCTTGTTTTTCATCAACATGCGTGCAAATCCGGTCTGTTTTTGGCCAGACAGAAACTGCACGCGGGCTGAATGTAAATATAACTCTCTGTGAATCCAATCGCTGACAGCAGCTTTTCCTCCACGTGTTCACACAAAACTAATATGATGCAGGACAACAACTCCATAAATGCAGTTATGCCATAAAATTCAAGATATTGGTGCAAAAAGTGCCCCGTATGAGTTTTTGTCTCATATTTAACGTTATATCATACGATAAGCGATTTCACACGAGCAGTGAGAGTATTACACGACACGATCTATCACGAATACAACAGTTCAGTAAATAAGAAGTTAATATTGTGGTGTATTTTAAACACATTATTGTGTTTTTGCTCAATTTTGCAGAGAACATTATTTCATTAAAAAATAAATAATAATAATAAAAACATTAAAGGGATAGTTCACCCAAAATAATGTAAATTCTGTGATCATTTACTCAGCCTCATGTCGTTTAACATTTCTTTCGTGGGACATTAACGAGGGTATTTTGAAGACAAAGCTGTTTCGGTTAACGATGATGACTTTCATTATATGAACAACAAATATTGAGATGTTTATCAAATGATCTTGTTTTATGTTACAGTTTATGTTGGGCCGTTGTAGCCTAAACGTTTATGTGTAATAAATTTTATGTTGAATCAAATAAAATATTTCTTTCTAAAGAAAGACTACTGGATACTTTATCTTTTAACACAATAATAAACTATACGCACACACACCCAAAAAATATGAATATATAAATACAAACATTTTAATATATAAATTATTAAACAAATATATCTAACACTCAAATATATACTGAAGCGTTTATCAATTTTATTTATATAAAAAGTATATTATATAAAGATATGAGTATATACTTTAAATACAATATTAAAATATAAATTGTTATATACAAGTATTAATATTCTATATAAAGCACGTATATATATTAATATTATATATTCGCAATATATAAATATACAACCACTTCTATATAATACAATTTTATTTTATGTTGAATCAAATAAAATATTTCTTTCTAAAGAAAGACTACTGGATACTTTATCTTTTAACACAATAATAAACTATACGCACACACACCCAAAAAATATGAATATATAAATACAAACATTTTAATATATAAATTATTAAACAAATATATCTAACACTCAAATATATACTGAAGCGTTTATCAATTTTATTTATATAAAAAGTATATTATATAAAGATATGAGTATATACTTTAAATACAATATTAAAATATAAATTGTTATATACAAGTATTAATATTCTATATAAAGCACGTATATATATTAATATTATATATTCGCAATATATAAATATACAACCACTTCTATATAATACAATTTTATACAAATATATATAAACAATATATTTTTTACATTTATATAGAATTCTTACTGTATATGTGAATATATGAAAATTTATACAAACACTTTTATATATACACTATTACACAAACATAAACACGTGAGTGTGTGTGTGTACGTACGTATATATATATATACACACACACACACACACACACACACACAGGCCTACATACAGTGTATATACAATTTCAGTCTTATATTATATACAGAAACATTCATACTACATATTAGATATGAATTATTATATAATTATAAATAAGTATATATTAAGGTGTATAAAGTAATTTCATATTATACATATATAAATATTCATAGAGACATTCATGTGTGTATATACCCGTATATGTGTGTATATAGATGGATAGATTAAAAATAATATGAATACATAAACACACACGTCAGATATTGAACCAGTGAAATCTATACTGATTAGGGATGTTCATTTCGGTTATTTTTCCTAACCGACAACCGACACTCGTTAACCGACAAGATTATTTTAAATTAGAACTGAATAAGTGACTCTCAGAGCAGTTCTGGAGATGTTGTTCATGTATTTATGTCCTCATTATTGAGACGACAGAGATTAATATCACCGGAAGCGTCACGAGCGTTTCAGTATGAGTGGTAAACAAAACCGCGCATCTGCGCCATTCATTAACACAGACACTCTCTCTCATCACACACACACACACATCACTCATCTCACACACACACACACACACACACACCACTCACTCACTCATCTCACTCACACATCTCACACACACACACATCTCACACACACACACATCTCACACACATCACTCATCTCACACACACACACACATCACTCATCTCACACACACACACACACACACACACCACTCCACTCTCTCTCTCTCACACATACTCACACAACACACTGTCTCTCATCACACACACACACTCACTCTCACACACTCGCTCGTCGGTGATCCGCCCCCCTCACGCATGAGGTTAGCAGCAGCAGCAGCAATGCTAACGCGCGTGTCTGTGTCTGCACTAGCGCCTGTAACGGGTTGTTATCGATCTGTAGCTCACACGTGACACCCGTTACTCGCCACACCCCCGCCGCTCGCGGAATAAACCCGTTAGAACGCGCCAAACCGGGAGACGGAGATTCCCGCGCCGCGCGGCCTACAGCAGCAGACAGACACAGTTCAAACAGACAAACCCGCCAAAAGCAGCGCCGCCGCGCGCTCTCTCCGCGGTTCTGATGCGCGGGGATCGAGAGAGCGCTGCGGAGCGCTTCATGAGCGGCAGAACTCACCGAGACACGGTAAAACCTCCTCAGATCGAGCCACGAGACACAGCGAGACGGTCCCGTCGCTCAAACAACAGCGCCACTTCCTCGCGCGGCGGACCGGCTGCGTCACGGCGCACGCCACGCGGGAGCGCGCACGCACGGGGCGGGGCATCCGCGTGCACGACCGCAACGGTCTCCGCTGATTAAACTGAAAATTATTATTTATGGATTACTTTTAGTGTAGTTTTAATTTTAATTTGACTACTTTATTTCTTTATGATTTTGTGACATTCACATTTTAAACACTTTTAAAAACGGAAAATTTTTGCTCCTTTTAATGCTGTCCTGATTTGCATCTTATAAAGCAACTTATTATTATGTTATATTTCTAATCTTGCTCTTCTTTGTATGTTAATAAGTTCGCCTTATGAAATAACTTAAATGTGCAAAATGTGTAAGAAAATAAAATAAAAAGTCACTCAGCTCAAGATATTCATATCGGTCCATTAAAACCCCATTTGCTATTAGAATAAAGCTTTGTGTGTGAGAAAAAGGCCAATTTCAGTCAAGTTTTCTCTGGTAAAATCAAATCTGTTTGTGTATTATTATTATTATTATAGTGCAATTCCACAAGAGCAAGCGGTATTAAACAGCCTTATTAACATGAATCCTGTCATGTCAGAAAGAGAGTAATCCATTTACATAAATCTGTGATTTTGAGTTTGTTCCAAAAATACACGCTTAGTTTGGTGTATATGGTATTTTCCTAATAAAAGATTAATATATATTTTACATTCCAACTTGTCACTTTGAAAAGGTAAAACTCTAATCCAATCAGAGGCGCTGACTGAGCGCGCGCGGGTCACGTGTGGGTCGCGATGACGTCAGTTTGTTTAGTTTTTGTTCCGTCAGTCAAAGCTGCTCTTATCATATATCATATGCGCCGTTATGCGCCGGCACACATCCGTTTCGAGGTATTTTAATAATGATTATAAATAAGAAGACTGACTCCAGATCAGAAGGTTAACGCGTTCAAATCACTAGGTGTCAAATATATATATATTATGCTATTCATAATTAGCAGCAAAACCGTCCCGCGCTGTCAGGAGGAGTGAGATCTGATCTATATTTCTGTTTGTTCTGAGGAAATATTACAGAAAAGCTTAAAGCACACTACTGAACATCTAATGGGAAGCTTGCACATTTCTGTTCTACACCTATAGCGCAAACAAGCGAATTAAACACTCAGAACATGAGGACATATTTACTTTCCCCCCCATTTTCATCATAACCCCAGCACACATTATAGTTCCATGCCTCCCTGACTCTAATATAAGCGAATCACCTCTGCTCTGCACTGAGCTGTTATAGCTTCCAAATAACCCTGGCTTTATGAACACTGCTGAACTCATAATGAACAACGGCTGGGTCTGATGAACTGCTGATGTGTGTTTACTGGATCAGTGTTGCTACTATTATAGTTCTTATGAGGACAATAGAAGCGATCAAAACTAACAAGAGCAATGATATGCTATAATACGTCTGTTAGCTTAACAGCACACGCAGCAAGGTTTTTAAAAATGATATAAATAAAAAGAAAAAAAATAGATAGAATACAAAAAGATTAGAGAAGCTAGAGTTAGTTTTTTTTTAAAGAATAGAATTAGAATAGAGTGCGCTAGAGTTAGAGGGTCAAATAAAGATGGAAGAGAAGTGTTTTTAGCCGAATTTTGAATCAGTTTTTTTTATATATATTTTGTTTTAATTTCATTTTTAAAGTTTTATTAGTTTTTCTAGTTTATAATTTTTTTTTTTTACTACATAAAGTTAAACTAAAATGAAAAATGTCGCCTTGGCAATTAACTAAAAAAAAAAAAAAAAAAAATTTAAAATTGAAACTTTTTAATATTTTATTTCAAGTAACAACATTTTTTTTTTTATGGTTTTAATTTAAGAAAGATGTAAACATTCTATAATCCGAATATTTCACCCAGAAATGAAACATGCATGTGTTCCTGGAACTGCTGTGCGCTGCAGGAATCAATCACAGCTCTGTGCTTCAGATCGACTCAGAACGCTTTATTTCTCAAACCAGCAACAGATCTACATCATGCCACTCTGTGCTCCTGAAGCATGGGCTCATGTGAACGGCTACAGAGAGAGACGGGTCTCACACACAGTCTTTTCTCAAGTGAGCATGAAGACCAGAAGTGTGTTGAGCTCCTCATCACCTGATGGGACACACTTATAGTGAGATAAAAATGCTTTACATAGCTTTATTTTTATTTGAAATACTCTGCATTTTAAAATCAACTTCTAAATGTCTGTTCACCCAAATTTAATTTGTGGTGCTTCTAATCAAGTGATAAAAACAGACGCATGATACGCTGAGACTAGAACAGCGCTCCGGAGCGGTGCTGGAGATCGTGTGGGTTTAGTGTGCGTTAAGTCTTGCACACTTACTTCCAGTCGTGCAAACATGCTCTCAAGCGGCCAAGAGCACAAGTGTGTGTGTTTGGACAAGTCTAGTCTGATGGAAGTGAAGCTCACTTGAAGTAGCGCTCCTCCTCAGCCGCCTGCTTCTTCCCGAAGGCTCCTCCGGCTTCCCTCACCGAGCCGCCCCCTCCTCCACCTTTCCCTGCTCCTTTCCCCAGCTCACCCAGCTGCACACACACACTCAGCAGTCAGACATCTGTGTGTGTGTGTGTGTGTGAGAGAGAGAGAGAGTGTGTGTGTGTGTTCACTCCAGAGTTCTGAGCGTCAGGCCCATCATTAATCTTAACTAAGTTACCTGATCGGATCCCATCATCCGGAGCGGTGAGGTGAAGTATCCTCTCAAAGTGCCTCTGAGCAGCAGTCGAGCCATCACTGAACCTCACTACCGAGCAGACAATCGGACAGAATGTGCCCTTGTGCGGAATGCGGATCGGAACACGGAAATAAAGGAGCGGAGAGTGACTGGATCCAACAGCAGCATCAGCGCCGCCTGGCGGCCGGAGAACAGCCGCACTGCGCATGCGCTCCAGCATCTGCGCCGCACTCGTGTGTTCATAGTTCAAGTAGACCAAAATGATGACTTACATTTCTACTTTTATTATTATTATTTATTTAAAAACCCTCTAACACGTGCTCTCTCTATTCGTTTTCTAACTGCTTGTTTTCTTTAAACAAGGCCTGTAACTCTAGCTTGCATTGCTCTTTTGTTGGTTTTGATTGCTTCTGTTGTCCTCATTTGTAAGGATAAAAGCGTCTGTTAAATGTAAATAAGTTTCTGGCACTTCTCTGTAGCGTCAGTACAAAAGGTAGTAGTTTGTTATATGAGTATACAGTATGATGTGTTTGTGAATGCACACGGATGCACGCATGAATCAGCTCTAATAAACACATATGCTTGAGATTCAGTTATATTTATTTCCTGATTGATTCCATCATTTTAACGTGGTGCAGCCAAAGTTATGCACCGTGTCTCGTGTTTTAAAATACAATATGATTTACATCATAAGAGCAGTACAGTTGGACACGGCTGTGTTTATTAATTTCTGCAGTGTTTTATTGCTTTATTTAGAGACACAGTCTGACATGAGCTATTCTCTTCCTGTAACTTTAATTTAACAACTTTAATTATTCTGTGTGTTTTTACCTTTCTGAAACAGTAACCAAAACACTGAGCTCTACACTATATAAACTGAATTCATTATTAATTCAAGGCCTAAAAGTGTTCTTTTTTTTAGACTATTTTGAGTCTGATATAAACAAATATCCATGGCTTCGGCAGCATGTTTTATGCAGTGTTGCCAACTCATTTTCTGTGCAGTCATAAACGATTAATCCAAAATAAAAGTTTTTGTTTACACAGTATATACAGTATGTGTGTGTGCTGTGTATATTTATTATGTATTTATAAATACACACACATGCATGTATATATTTAAGACAAATATGTTACGTTTATATATTTAATATATTTATATATAATATAAATTTTATGAATATTTGACAGCACTAATATATATACATATATACATACAGTTCAGGTCAAAAGTTTACATCCCTCTTTCAGAATCTGCAAAATGTGAATAATTTTACCAAAATAAGAGAGGATCGTACAAAATGCATGTTATTGTTTATTTAGTGCTGACCTGAATAAGATATTTCACATAAAAGATGTTTACATATAGTCCACAAGAGAAAATAACAGTTGAATTGATAAAAATTACTCCGCTCAATGACTCTTAACACTGTGTTGTTGCCTGAATGATCCACAGCTGTGTGTGTTTGTGTTTAGTGATGGTTGTTCATGAGTCCCTTGTTTGTTCTGAACAGTTAAACTGCCTGCTATTCTTCAGAAAAACCCCCAGCTCCTACACATTCTTCAGTTTTCCAGCATCTTCTGCATATTTGAACCCTTTCCAGCAGTGACTGTATGATTTTGAGATGCATCTTTTCACACTGAGCACAACTGAGGGACTCAAACACAGCTATTACAGAAGCTTCAGACGCTCGCTGATGCTCCAGAAGCAGAAACCATGCATTAAGAGCCGGGGCGTGAAAACTTTTAGAATGTGAAGATCAGGGTAAATGTAAGTTATTTTGTCTTCTGGGAAACATGTAACTATCTTCTGTAGCTTCTGAAGGGCAGAACTAAATGAAAATATGAGAATGTTCTCTGTTAGCTAGGAGAGAGCTAAAATTCTATTCTACTCTATTCTATTCTATTCTCTGACGCTTGTGATGGGACACATCAGACATGCACTTTAATTATTTGTGAAATTTACTAGAAACTTCTAGTGAATATAGTTTCCTACCCCTTGTTTTTTTTTTTTACAAAGAAACAGCAAGTAACACATAGAATTCAATGTTAATTCTAAAAAGTACTAGAAGATAGCATATAAATTAATCTTTATTTACAACTTTGACATTTTTTTTCTAGCATGTAGCAGCATCTGAAAAGTCCAAATACACTGCGAAAATGATTTTTGTCTTGTTTTCCAGTTCAGAAATAACTAAACTCTCTTAAATAGAGATATATTTATCAGAGAAGCAATATGACTTAAGATTTTTTTTTTTTTTCAATTTATTTTTATTTCGAACTATTAAAAATACAAAAGGAAAAAACACATAATAAATATACAAATAAATACCAATAAACAACAACAAAAAAATCAACAAATATTTTTTTTTACATATATTCAACCTGTTCGAAATAAAAAAGGGTAGGTAGAAGCCCTAGGCTTATTAAATCCTACCCTCAGTAATCACCAATACCAAATCACAATCAGCCATAATAAATCAGACATACCATTTTGAATAATACAAAAATACTAGTCCAAATTACGTCCTACTTTATCTATCTATTAAGATAAAGAAGACAAACAGAAACTAAATCAAGCAGCATTAACAACAATGTTGAAATTCTCACTCTCTCCCCCCACTTCTGTATTTATCAAAAATAAATCTTTTATACCTACTTTTAAATTGCAACATATTAACACTTTCTTTGATATATCCGTTTCATCTATTCCACGATATCACCCCACAAATCGAAATACACACACTTTTGAGTTTTGTCCGTGCATTTTGCTGTCTCATATTTAAAGCCCCTCTCAAATTATAACACCCCTGTCTATCTGTGAATAATTGTTGTATATTTCTAGGCAGCTGTTTATTTTTTGCTTTATAAACTATTTGTGCAGTTTTAAATTCTACCAGATCATTAAACTTTAAAGTATGAGATTTTAAAAACGCTAATGTAATTCAGTTCATATCCATTCAACTCACAGTCCACTCCCTTCTCATTACTAAGCCAGGTCTCAGATATGGCTATCACCTGGAATGGTTTGTTTAGACGACTTAAGTATTCTTTAATATTGTGAAAATTTGCATATAAGCTTCTGCTATTAAAATGAATAATTGACATTCCATGCACAAATTTTACGTTCATATTAAATTGATCTTCAGAGTAATAACAACAGTTGTTATTTATATTGTTAAGAACATTATTTTCAGGGTCAATATCAAAATCATGTAAATTATGATCAGTGAATTTAAATGTTTTATAGTTCCAACCTTCACTCTCATTTCCAGCAGTTATCAAGTTTGAACAGTCAAGCTCTTCTATAGTGTCCATATACGTTTGAGTTCACGTCAATCACATGCATTGATATATACACGTTCTTTACCTTAGAATTTTGCATGTTCCTGAGTCACAGCTCCTCGATATATCTTACAGTCAAGACTCTGGCCTCCTCCGGTGCCCCATTAAGCTTTATGTACACCTTACAGTTTGTTGTCCAGGTTGACTGGATTTTCTTCTGCTTCCTTAGCAGGCGAGCCCTTCTTGCTATGTCTGCATTCATATTAGCATTTTGTTAGATGCTCATTTATATAAACATCTGTACCCCTGAGTTTTTTCCCTTGTCTGAGCAGGACATTTTTGTTTTTCCTGTTGTTAAAGCGAATTATTGTAACAGGTTTGTCGTTTATATTTTTCCGGGGTAAAGGATGACATAACTCAATGTCTGTGTTGGATATTGATCTGCCTCTACTGTGAAAGAAAGCAGTCACCTGTTGCTCCACGGAGTTCATGTCTGGATCAGTGAGCTCCCTACAGTCCATCGCTGTTACCGCTCTGGCGTAAGACCTGGGTCTGATCTCCAAGCCGCTGACAACAATGCCATTCATGCGGGTATACTGCTCCAGGTCTGCCACGCGGTACTCCAAGCTAGCAATCTTCTTATCCTTCTCCTCATTTTGTTTTTTAAGTTCATTAAATCCATTATCATTTTTTGCTGCTTCGAGACAGTCGCAATTTCCTCCGACAGAAAATCAAGCGATTTCTTTATGTCTTTTTTGGTGGCATTTTTAGCGTGTTCACCCTCTAGTATGTAGCATGCAGCCAAGCATGTAACATACAGTTTTCTGTTGGTACTTGACAGCAGGAGCGCCGCTAAAATCTCTGTTCTTTCAGAGGCAAACCTTCAGCGTCTCTCTTCCATGAATTCCATGTATATCTCCAATCAATCAGAGTGGACACAAGATATGAAGTCCATGAAGAAACTTGAGTAAACAAGAAAAAAACAATCTGCCTGGGAAAACAAGATTACTTTTCTGTCCACTTTAGCAGATATTTAGACATAAATTTGCTTAATTCTGAAACATACTTTCAGAAAACAAGACTTCATATCTTAAGTCACTGCATCTCCAGCAAATCTATGTTGATTTAAGGATGTTTAGATATTGGAACTGAAAAACAAGAAACGAGTTCTTTGCAGTAGAAATGTCAGAATGAATGTTAATGTCATGGATTTAGTGCTTGCAGTTCCTGTAACATATTCAGTCTGTGCTTTCTCATCCTCAGAAAAGAACAGCGTTAGTGTGTGAAGCGGTCAGGAGAGGGCAGTGTTTCCAACAAAACACAGACCCAGCACTGTCCTCTGAGAGACACACTTACAGGCTTCTCCTCATGATGCATCTGAGGAACTCAGCTAAAGCCTAAAGTTACCCTCAAATGCAAACCCTGTCATCATTTCCTCATGAGTTATGAGATATTTTGGAGAACGCTGGGAAACGAGCAGTTGCTGGCAGCTATTGCTAAATAAAAACGACTATAGAAGTCTCAGACATTCTTCAAAACATCTTCTTTTGCGTTCAGAAGAAGAAAGAAACGAGATGAAGGTGAGTAAATGACGACAGGATCTGAACGTTCTCTTTATAGTCCGTCCTGCTCCAGACTAATCCAGTGCACAGCACTAACTGTCAGCAATCAAACATCACAGACTGGATTGGGACACATTTCATGAAGCGTAACCTGCGCAGAAGGGTTCGAGCTGTGAATAACAGGAGCTGAACTCGGAGAGCATCCGGCGGCTTTATATGGGCTTCCGGCGCTTCGCTGTCCTCCAATCATATGTTCTCTTTTCTTCTGCTGTTGCCACTGGAGATGGTTTCCTGGCAACCCTCATCTGCAGAGCGACGGCAGGCTGAGGTCATTCTGAGTCCAACAGCAGTCTGCGCATAAAAGCATGTTCGCTAAAGGTGAGTGTGCACATGCACATATGATGGGGATGAACCGAGGGACACGACCCACCTGAGAACAGATGATTCCTCTCCTATCAGAACCTCAAAAAGAGCACTTAGTGAAAGGAGACGGCAAGAGTCCCTGACTGAGAGTGTGCGGGGATCACAGTGAGTAAGAGCATGACTGGACTCGTTGAGACGCATGAGAGTTTCAGGAGTTTACGAGTTTCCACACTGCACATTTTAGAGTGGCCTTTTATTGTGGCCAGCCTAAGGCACACCTGTGCAATAATCATGCTGTCTAATCAGCATCTTGATATGCCACACCTGTGAGGTGGATGGATTATCTCGGCAAAGGAGAAGTGCTCACTAACACAGATTTAGACAGATTTGTGAACAATATTTGAGAGAAATAGGCCTTTTGTGTACATAGAAAAAGTCTTAGATCTTTGAGTTCAGCTCATGAGAAATGGGGGCAAAAACAAAAGTGTTGCGTTTATAATTTTGTTCAGTGTATCTGTCTGTCTATCTATCTTCATAGCAACTAGCCAAACCAACCTAGCAACCACCCTCAGTACCCTAGCAACCACAGAGCAACACTCTAGCAACCACTCCGGGTAGCCTAGCAACCACATGGCAACATCCTAGCAACCACCCCAAGTACCCTAGCAACACCTTAGCAACCACCCCAAGTACCCTAGTAACCGCATAGCAACACCCTATAATCATTATTACAGTTTTTCTCAGTCGCTTTGGTGCATTTCTCAAAACAATTCGTACAAACAGCAGCACACGATGGATTACCTGCAAAAGCCTGGAACTTGCTCAAAATCTTTAGTTCATCTCTCAAAAGTAAGTATTTATGCCAATGAACATATCAGTGCCATCAGAATGAAAAGTCTTTGTGTCGTTGTTCACAAACAAGATCAAGTCAAAATGCTTAGTCATGTTATCAGTATAACAGTGCACTCTGTTAGTTTCACCTAATGTAAACTATGGCAACAGTTTGGATAACAGTTACTGTATTAAAATGCAAAAGGCTGCACTTCTTATGTGTGCCATATATCCATTTCAAAAGTACACATTTACATATTACTGTATCTGGGATATTGATTGAAAGAGACTGGATAGGATTCACAGTTACGCTTTTACTAGTGGTCTGACAAAAAAACAAACATTACAATGTCATTGTGATATAGAAAAGAAAATGAAATATGGGCACAAAGATGAAAATAAAAAAATAAGAAAGTCCATTGTCAGAATTTGTAACTCTTGTGTTGTCCTCTGTCGGTACAGTATATGCTTTCCAACTGAAGATTCATGAGATGCAGCTTTGAGCTATTTCAGAGAACTGGTTTGTCAATTCTCTTCATTAGTGAAAGTCAAGATTCACCTGCACAATTCATGCCAAATTTACAAAAAGTCTAATTATAATGTGTAAGAAATGCGCTCAACAGTTTATGACAACTAGATGAACCATTTTGCATTGAATGACTTATACGATGAACTAAAGACTAGATGTTTTGGGGGGTAAGACTGTTGCACAGAGAACTATATAATACATTTTGAGCAACATGACAATAGCAGCTGATCATGTAGGAAACCGCAGATAAATGCACATAATCAGTTGCATGAACGCACCAAAGCAATCGCAGCTTGTTCAAAAGAATGAGAAACTGCTTTTATGATGTGTACAAGTGACTAGATGATGTGGAGGTTGTTCAAGTAGTTTTGAGAATTTCATTTCTGATCTGAGAAATGCACCGAAGCGACTGAGAAAAACTGTAATATAATCATGTTATAATCATTATTTCTGAATTTTCTCAGAACGTTCTAAAAATGTTTGTGTGGAAAACATCACGAGAACGTTCCATTTTGCAAACACTGTGGGAATGTTGCTTTTGAATGTTCTCTGAGACACCTGAAACTAGTAAGTAGTAACATAAAAAAAAAAGTTAAATGAACGTCTAACTAAAACGTTTTTTGCGCTAATGTTTTGCCAGTAGTGCATTACAATATGTTGTTGCTCCCTAAAAAAGTAGCTAAATGCATTACTTTAGGTGCGCCCCAAATCGCGTACTTATGCACTATTCTATAACGTTTTGTGTAATAGACAGTTTAATCGGGCGCATGCGCCTGGCCCAGAGTTAACTTACCGGAGAAACCTCTATCTCTGCCGCTCCAAAAGCGCCTCCTGCTGGCAGAGAATTAATTAGCATTTTCAATAAGCCTGTCTGATTTACACAGCAAATATATTTAGCTTGTTATCGGAAATAATATACTCTAGAAGGACTTTGCTGTTGTTATTGATTCTTTGTGCAAGTCCACTGGAAGTTAAGTTTGGTCCACACAAGCGTGCACGCGCAGTAACGTTTGTTTATGATATTGCCATTGAAACCGTCTATAAATAGTGCGAGTAGTGCGTTCACACTAAAAATTCCAAAAAGAAAAAGTGCACTTTAAATACACGGATGATGCACTTAAATAACCGAAAAAATGAAGTGTGGAATGTTGGACACTTCATGCGATCGACTGTAGCAGCTTTAATTACGTCGCAAAGGGGGAGGGGCTATCAGACTCCGATTATTAATGACAATATAACCTTATAAAATTCCTTCACTACATGGTACGTAGTGCATAAGTGCATAGTGCGTCATTTGGGACACAGTTTTAGTTACTTTTTATGGCTAGTAATGCACTACGTTACTTTTGCGTTACTTTTTCTCAACTGGGCTGGGCTTGCTTGTTTGTTTTTAAACTAAAAAGTTCAATTTTTGGCAAATGTTAGCTTTTCAAGCTAAAAGTGAAATGCATACGCCTCAGGCTGAGGGAAATGTGGATTCACGTCTGTACAGTAGAGGGCGCTGCTCAAACAAACCTTTCAGCTGCTGCTGTTCTGGGGTGCATGTCCCAAAAGTAGCTATGGTCACAAGTTCCGTTGTTACTAATAGAGTTCAATGGAACTTATGACCATAGTTAGCTAATGATGCTTTTGAAAAACACACCCCTGGATTGCATGAAGAATAAGACGCAGGAGAAAAACGTTCAACACTTTCGCTTATTAGTACGATTATTGGCATGTATTTTTAGGAACGTTAAATCTGTTTTTGAGTAAACACATGTTGATATTTAGTCTAGAACTACAGTAAGATCATGTTCACACACAACGCTCTGCACTTACTCCTGATTTCTGTCACCATGGCAACACCAGAGCTGTCACTCAACACATGGAAACAAAGTAACTGCTGTTACTTATTTGAAAATATATTTATTTATTATTTCTTGTAAATTAAAAAGTAATGCATTACTTTACTAGTTACTTGAAAAAAGTAACCTGATTACGTAACTCGCGTTACTTGTAATTCGTTACCCGCACCAGTGTTGAGTACAGTATCATTGAATGAACGTTCTATGAATGTTAGTGGAAAAGCGTTTGTTCATAACTTTGAGAGAACCCTGCAGAGCTTTCCCTGTGAGCTGGTTTTCTCCCGATAAGAGTTTCAGAAGAGATCTCAACAATATCTCAAACTGTGCTCAGTATGAGCTCATCAGATGATCTGAGCTGCTCCACGCTCATTCTTCAGCTCTAGACTCTCACAGACTCATTTGAGTCTGTTTTATTCCTTCTGAGGAGTCTGTGGAGAAACATCTGAGCACCATTAGGAATAAAGTTAAGACTCTAGAGAGTTATAAAAGAGCAACATCTGAGAAATCTGACAGTCGAGATAGTGACCATTCTGACTGACTGACCTCGCTCTCTCTCTCTCTCACACACACTCACACACACACACACACACACACACGCACGCACTCACACGCACGCACGCACACACACACACACACACACACACACACACTCATGATCAGCTGAGATGATGAACAGCAGTAGCTGAGAGCCACCGAACCAGTCGATGCTCCTGAGGCCCATCATGTTACCATAGTAACCGGCTGCAGAGAAGAGGCTGGGTGCTTTATGTTGCCATGGTGACGATGGCTGGAGAGGACAGCTCCACACCTGAGGAGAGAGAGGGTTCCAGCTCCAGCACTGAGTGGTTCTGAGTGGTTGCTATGCAATTGTCTAGAGTATTGTTGGTGGTTGCTATGTTGTTTGGGTGTTCTGAGTAGTTGCTATGCAGTTTCTAAGGTATTCAGAGAAGTTGCTATGCAGTTTCTAGGGTGTTCTTGGCAGTTATGTTGTTGCCTGGGTGTTCTTAGAAGTTGCTATATTGTTGCTAGCGTGTTCTGAGTAGTTGCTATGCAGTTGTTAGGTTGTTCTGAGAAGTTGCTATGTGGTTGCTATGCTGTTGCTAAGGTGTTCCGAGTAGTTACTATGCAGTTGTCTAGAGTATTCTTGGTGGTTGCTGTGTTGTTGCTAGGTTGTCTGGTGGTTGCTAGGGTGTTTTTGGTGGTTATGTTGTTGCTAGGGTGTCCTGAGTAGTTGCTATGGAGTCGCTACGGTGTTCTGAGTGGTTGCTATGCAGTTGTCTAGAGTATTCACACATAGCCT